AAAGTGACGCCAACGATGACGACCCTAACCGTACCAGGTATGGTTTAGCATGCATTTGTACGAAGCGATCGAGCTGCCCATCAATAGATTGGAGCATGTGACCCGTGGGTAATACATAGTCTGGCACAGACGGGGAGCATGAAGCACGTGGGACAGAGGGAAAGCACCAGTACCAATAATACTACTTGCGGCGGCGATTGACTCCCTGCCTCTTGGTCGGTATATGCGTGCATAAACACGAAATAATTACGAAATGTTTCCAAACTTTATCACTTTTCACAGAGCAACCACTTTGTTAATCCCTCGGTCTCGTACCATGCCTCTGCTCCGCTTTGGGGGGCTATTCACGCTTACTTTATTGTGTGTTTTATCGATGGGCGAGAGCTGCACGTGCTTCATTGTCACACCGGGAGCTTCTCAAGTTGGGGCGATGCAAGTCACGTACGCAGCTGATTCGCACACACTCTACGGATATTTACAGGTAACGGTATCGGCATATTAGGATAATCTCGAAACGTTTTGACACTAATTGCCGCATTCTTGGTACAGTTCTGGCCCCGAAGCCGTCATTCAGATGGAGAGGTAATAAATGTGACAGATTGGGACTCGGGGCTGTTCCGGGGCGTCATCAGGCAGGTGTGTTGCCCATCCCGACATGAGCTCCCTGTTTTCAATATCGGGACTGGATCCCCTTAGACCTCACTTTTGCTTTCGATGCCTTTGAATTGTTATTATTTTTTCCATCGAACTGCTATAGGTGCCTTTGACATACAACGTTGTGGGAAACGTAAACGAATTCGGATTGTGTATCACGGAATCAACATGGGGCGGACTGGCTGAACTCGCACATCAACCCGGAGCCATTCTGGATTACGGCTCGCTTATATACATTACTCTTCAGCGAGCAGCCTCCGCACAGGAAGCATTGCAAGTGATGACTGACCTTGTGGCCGAGTACGGTTACGCATCAGAGGGGGAGACGTTCACTGTTGCGGATCCGGAAGAAGTTTGGGTTTTGGAAATGATTGGGAAGGGGGAGCACGGTAAGGGAGCTGTGTGGGCGGCCAAGCGAATTCCCGATGGCTACATTTCCGCGCACGCAAATCAAGCGCGAATTCAAACACTGGAAAGTGAAGGCATCGACCAGGTTTTATTCTCTGACGACGTAATTGACTTCGCCCGCCGAATAGGACGCTTTCCCACGGAGGCGCAGGATGATTTATTTTCTTTTAGTGATGTATACAATCCCATCACCTACCTGGCCGCACGCGCCTGTGAGGGCCGCGTGTGGGATTTTTTCCGCCGCGCCACAGCTGCAGACCAGTCGATCATGGGCCCATACCTCGATTATGTAACAGGGCGAAACTTGACGAAACGAATGCCGCTTTATATCAAACCTGTGGCGCCTTTGAGTACTTCGGACATTGTTGATGCCATGCGCAGTCATTATGAAAATACTCCTCTGGCTTTCGACCAGGACGTAGGAGCTGAAGCTTTCGGTCTCCCTTACCGCTGGCGGCCTTTGACGTGGCAACTTGACGATGGGCGCACGTTTTTCAATGAGCGCGCCGCGGCGACACAACAGACGGGGTTTAGTCTCTTGGCACAGCTCCGAAGAGGAGTCCCTGATCCCATCAAGGCGCTTCAATTTTTCGCAGTCGATGATACTGATTCATCAGTCATGATTCCTGTGTATGGCGGCATGGCGCTTGTCCCTCCCAGCTACGGCCCAGGCAGCATATCTGTTTTTGAGCCTGAAAAGGCATTTTGGGCGTTTAACATGGTGGCAAATTTCGCATATGCTCGTTATGCCATAATTAATCCGGATGTCAGAAGGCGGCAAGGCGCCTTGGAAGCGCAGCAATGGAAGCTGGCAGTTGAGATAGATGAGGAATTTACTCGATTATGGGGAGAGGACCAAATCAAGGCGGTCGCGATGATGACCACGGCCTGCGTCTCGAACGCTGAGAGCCTTGTCCTTGAATGGAGAAGGTTTTACGGAGAACTCTTCGTCAAATTCATGGATGGAAACATCAAGACAAAGGATAATCCAGAACAGCTTTTGCCAGATGTCGAGCAGCCTGGGTACCGCCTGGAATGGCGTGAGCGTATCGTCCGGGAGACGGGTGAGAGATACAGATTCCCTGCCGACATGTTTACGTCACAGCAATAGATGAGCTAGCGATAGGGCGTCAGTGAGGCGTGGACAGACGAATTCTATGGCCGCGAAGCTAATGTGACTGAGGTATGCATTCACACGCCAGGACCCTGAAATATACATGCAACACCAAGTCATGGTGTGTACGACCATCGTTCCTCACGGTAGCTTAAAGCCCACCGCTCTGGCCCACCAGGGCCATTGCTTGCTTCCATCTATAGCGATAAATCGCCTGGCTTACACGGGAAGCGGTAACATATCTGAACTCGCATAATTCAACAACTCCACTTCTCGGATGATATCATGCTGTAACAGCCACACAATCTGCGCAAGCTTTTCTTGTCTCGCATCCTTTATGATATAATGTATATGTGGACACGAGATTTATGGACGGGCATGGCTTGTCATTAGTCTCATTTGCCGTACAGGTGTCAACGATCCCGTGGTGGATCCCAAAGTCATGTTCTTGGCTCTTACCCGCTCTAAGTCCTTCAAAAGAGTTTCCAGACTTTTCCCGCCTCCAAAAGACGAGATCACGCGGAAAAATGAGCATAGGGGAAAGCGTTGCTCAAATGCCATACATTGTATAGATTGCGTTTGTGTAGAAGCCATGGGATGGAGCTAAAATGTGATGAAGAAATAAGAATCTGGAAATGAGGATGCGCATCATAACTCAGACAACGGTAACCCACTAAACGGCGTTTGAGACATACCGCGTACACGCTTTCCAAAGTAATAGTGCGCATAGCCCGAGCCAGTCCCCAGAATTGCAGATGGGCGGCGAGAGTGTACATGTGCGGAAGGTCAACGTGGATCGCAGCGGACGTCTCCTCCAGTGTTTTTAATGGGCTCGCGGCTCTCACCAAGTCGCGAAGCTTCTGTGATCCCCGCTCAGGCAGCTTTGTCAAAATATCCTCTTCATCCATGAGCAGCAACAATGTCTGTGAGGGTTGAAAAGGGCCTATGCCGGAGGTATGACTCGTTGAATTCCCGACCTCCACCTGATCGTCGTGCCGTGGAAACGACCCCGGAATACTCAGGCGAAGCCAGTCATTGATGATCACATCTACATCTTCGCCCTCCCGAAGACTGTGATAAATCCGTTTCAGGTCAGCTGCGAGAGCGCTTTCCTCCATCATCGTGTCCAGCATGGTCTGGGCGCCCTTGGCATGCATCCTTTCTGCAATGTCCAAAAGCGTACCAACTTCCAAGCTTACATACCCACAGCGCCGTTCTTCATGCAGCAAAGCACGCGAAAGACGCCCTAGTACATCTTCCAAATGATGGACACCCCGACTCCTTTCTACCGCATCGAGGCGCTCACAGGTCGTCGCAGTCGGTAATAACTTCACAGACCTCTCGCCACTGTGGTTGCACGCGACCGATCTTTGCCGTGCTGCCGCACGGGACATTGTGGGTAAGCACTGCTCTATCAATGAGTCTCTTGTCAGGGCTGTGGGTGGTGTGCGTCCCATCGCCAAGATCACGTTGAAAAGCAGGACATCGTCTGTCGCTATCTCCTTCGTGGCACTCGACGTAAGAACAGGGTAACTTAAATAACGAACGCGATCGATAGATATACGCAGAGGATGGCCACATAGGACGCTTTTAGGACGGAAAAGGCGAGCGAAGACTTCTGGCGTCAAATTGAGGAAGTCTTTCGCGCATCTGTACAGCGCCAAACTTGTTGATGTAGATTTGCCGGTTGCAGAGTAAGGACTCAATCTTGGCAATGGTGGATACCGAAAAACCAACCTCTGCCCCTTGTTGGCGTCATCGACCACCAATGCAATACCAAGCAGGGTCGAAATCCCATCATGGGGCCACAGCTGCGGAGTCATGATGCTACTGACCACAGGCGTTTCCCTTTACCCTATAGCTATTTGCAACGGGGAGGTTAGCTTAGAGTGTGGCCAGTATGATGCGTAATTTGGCCATTTAAGCTGCGTTTGCGCATGGAAGACATGATCTCACTGTGTGTCAACCTTTTTGCCGTCAGTGTGCTACGCGACAGTGACGCAGTAGTCTGGAGAGAAGGCGACTGTACCGGAGGGCAGAAGGCGTAAGGTTATTCGTCGCTTTCAGATGCTCGCGCAACCGACCTTGTGGCGTCAGGCAGTATTACGGCGGTGGCTAGGCCTGTCCGCAACAAGTAGAGCTTCCACAAATTTCGCAAAGAATGGACGGCAACCTCATCAGCAGTATATGCTCATACAAGGCACGATCCCGCAAGATGCGTGCTACCTTTTTTTTCGCCTCGATAGCGATAGTCCTGCCTTTTTTTCTTTTGTGTCGATACAAGTCCGAATGATGTTATCCTCAGGATAACATGCTTATACTCACATGTAGAGTGACTTGAGAAGGTGTAAAGGTACTTAAGATCTATTTGTGCGCCAAAGAAATTTGTCAAAGGAAATGTGACACGCGAAGGCGTACATGATTTTCGGCTTTCTTTCGTATCACACAGATTGTCCCCCATTTCCCGAGCTATTCCTCCTTTTCCGTTTTCCCTCTGAGGCTTTCGTCTTCATTTTCCCGGCAGACCGCTGTTCTCGTCTTGATAAGTCCCCATTAGCTAAATCTTCCCCGGGCGATCGACCGTTCAATTCCTCCATTGTGGCGGCGATGGCCGCTCGAGCCGCTTTACTGAGGACAAAATCAGTCTTGTCGGCCAGGCCTTCTAGAGGAAGAGGAGCTGCAGTAGTTGAAGAGTTTGAAAATGAAGACAAGGATCCTTCCATGTTATTTCCAGTCCTCTGTAGACTTGAGTCGCCAGGTTGCTGAATTTTACGGTTAAAAATTCCTTGGTCACAATCCTCCCCTTCAGATGAGTCTGCCTGGGAGAGGTCGAGAGAGTGGAGTGGTAGTGGAAGCCCTGCGGGAATATCTATATCGTCTTTTCCGTCGCTCTCCTTTCCCTGCGCTGTCATCCAGACCCCCAACCCATCCTCATGCACCGACAAAGGCCCCACAAGCCCTTTTTTCTGGTCATCGGACAGAGAGCCCTTCCCTCTGTCAGCATTACAGCCACGCTCAGAAAGTGATATATCCTTAGCGGGCAAGTTCACCGGCCTGAGCCCTACGTAGCGCTGCTCGCCCTCCTCGGCAGGCAGGTCCTCGTCCTCCTCTCCCTCATCTCCTTCCCTAACGTCTCCCGATCCGACCACACCCGTCGCCCGGCGCTGTGCCTCGCTCAATGACGCCAGCGACCCTGGCTTCAAGCAAGACCTTAGGCTTTGTCGCCTCCGCTCCTCGTTCATATCATCCTCGGTAGATCCCCCCTCAGCTTCCGCCAAAAAGAGCGTCAGCTCATTCTGTTCATTCCCCTCCCTCGGCTGAAATTTGAAGTCCTCTACGTCCACTAGTCCACTTTCTTGCACGGAGGACCGCTGAGGCCCTTGCGTCGATCTGCAAGTAACACCAGGCCACGCTTGCGGGTCTCCCTGGATCGGCCTGGGGTGCTTTGACGCCACCGCCGCCGCCGGCGAGGAGACGTGGCCGACCGGCTTGTGCCCCTCTCCTTTGCTGCGAGTCACTCCAGTGTTTTCCCTCGAGGTACCTGGGACGACGGTATCTGGGAGGACCCTGACGCTCTGCGGCTTCCGCGCTTCTTTGTTACTTTTCTCGATCACGGGGGCGTGGTCTTCTTCCTTGGCCCGTAAAGCGGCCACATAGTCCCCCCAAGACCCCCGGTCGATCCCTTCCTCCACTTCCAGCGTCATGGCCGAGAGCACCCGCCGAGTCTCGCTCAGTTGACGCTCTAGCACGTCACCTTTCATAGCCAGAAACGGAATGTTGAGATAGGCATAGAGTTGAGCTAAACCGAAACAATTTTGCATGGAGCAAGCGAAAGCATGGCAAGTCCTCCCCTGAGCTGTCTGCTCCGCGCTCACTTCCTGCAGGTCCCGCAAATTGAAATGTACTCGACGAGGCCGAACGGGAGCAGCTTCGACCGATTCACCCTCATGTTTGGTGTCCTCTTCAAGCTTCCTTCCCTCCTGCGTGTCGTCAAGAAGTAAATCTCGAAAGTTCGCCAGCAAAAGGACAGGAATGCCCCGTGGTACCTCGGCGAGTTGCTTTTGGACGTATTGCAGCGCCGTCGAGGAGAAAGGATTCATCATGAATATACCTCCATGCGACCCTTTCCAAACGTCTACAATGGTGGCATCCAATACACCAAATGCATGACTCCCAGAAGCACCTGCATGGTGCCCGCGCTGGGCGTGCACTGGTACGTCGAGCGGAAGCCCTGCCAGAGCATCAGGGTCACCGCCGCCGTCGTGCGCGACAGTGCCCGTCCCCCTCACATTATTTCCGATCAAACTACCGCGTCGGCCCAACCCCTTGTCAACGACGTCCCAAATCTCTACCTTGACCACAGCACCATCTTCTTTGGCGCTCCAATTAATGGTCGCCGTCTCGATCTCAGGCGTTGGCTCATATACTGAAGATGTAAAAGGTTGACCTTTAAGTCTACTGAGCAAAGCACTTTTACCGCTGCCGCGTTCTCCTCTGATAATAATCTTCAAATTGTGTGCGACCCCCTTGCCCAATTTCTTTTGAAGGGCCCCATCCATGCGTCGAATCGCCTGTCGTCGGTCCTCCTCTGATCGTATGCTTGTGATGCTGGAGCTAACATCGTTTCCCATGCTGTCGCGCTATTCCTATTCACGGTAAAGAAGAATAAACTTGGTCTGTAGAGGCACGAATGTACGCGCAAATACCAACACAATACTTCTCGTTCCAATCCTTCGATTTTGTCGGGCTCGGAAAGCTCGCCGGTCGCCCTGTCTCCCTCAAGTCAAGGAGCAGAGTATCATACCGTGTCCTCAGGCATCATATGATCTCTCTAACCCTCCGGGACGCGACTTTGTTGCAAGGAACCTTAGCATGCCAGAGGATACTCATGAAAGAGTGGAAAAAGGCTACAGAATAAAACTTGGTCCCCGCACTTCATGATCAAAATCTAACTTTTTAATAAACTGCCATCATTTCGTGAATCAAAGGCGGACCTGAGATGGGCCTAAGGGTGGCTCGGATGCCCCCTAGAAAAAAACGGACTGTACTTCAATAAACGGGCACTTGGGCTACCATTTCATTTCATTAAGGGCTTATGCATGGCTTCGCTTTTTTGCAACTCCCGATGTGCTGACTCTGCACTTTTGGTGTTGCGATACGCCAAAGTTAATAGTCAAACGAGAGGCAATTCGGTACACTAAAAAGCAAATAAAATTCTTAACGAAGACAACGTGACGATATTTTGATACGCACGTACCATAATTACGTTTGACATCTTGGGCCTCGCGTTCTGTATGTACTAATAGTGCAGCAGTCGTCCAGGATGAACTTTTGCGGGGAGTAAAAGTATATATGAATTCAGGTTGCTGTGCAGGGCTTGTGCGTGATTATGAGCAAATGCAAGAGTGTAAGCCTTAGGAAGAGCCTGAAAGTGCGAAGGAATGAAAGAGAATTAAGTGCTCCTGATTAAAATAATGAGACGATAATTCACGGAGGACTGACGAGAAGCGCGGATGCGTCTGTGATAGCGCCTTGTTCATTTGAAATTGCAATTTAGATATTGAATATCTTTATGAAGACGAGCCTTTTTTAAAAAAGAAGTTAGTGACTGGAAAGTTTGAGTTTATGGCAGCAACTTGTCCTTTTAAGTGGATGTAAAACACTTGGTACATTACATTCCAATTTGTCGATTCCAGCCAATTGGTTAATATTTGAAGACTGTGCTGATAATAGCAATCTCTATCAACATAAATTAACACCGTGTTTTAGCGCACGAACCCGGAAAGAGGTCCAGGCCCCTGGTAGCGAGGGGGCCCTCGGAGCGAGAGACAGTTGGCGGGCAAGCATACCCGGACCGAGGCGCGAGCTTCGGCCTTTCCTGCGAGACGAAACTTGAGCCAGGGTTAACACTTGACCAACATTTGCATAATAATAAATTAATTAGGAGGGGATTGAGCTTTCTAGACATGAGATGCTATAATTGGTCGAGTCGTTTTTGGGAATGAAAAAGTAATATTGAAGTCGAGAAAGAATGAAGGGAGGCCCAGCGAGAAGGCGATGGGTATCACTGTAGAAAGCCCGCCCCCCCAAAGCCTTAATTCGTGTCCAACCTAGTGGAATGAAGTGTCAGAAAGCGAGTTTGCCTTGACCGTGGGCATGTTGTGCCATTTCCTCCGTGCACGCGGCCTGGACTGAGACGTCGTGGGTGTTTGCATGGCTTTATTTCTTTAACTCCTCAACGAAAGAGGTGGCTCTCTTTTCGACCCGGCTGGACACTACATCGAAAAATGCGTCCTCACGCACACAGTGCGTACACACGTGCAACATTTTCATCTGTGGAAGTATCATAGAGGACGTGATGACTCCTAATCGTGCCTTAGTATTGGTCTTTGGTGGGCAGATATGGTTGTAGGAAGGACCACGTTTTTTGGGGGGGGACCTGCGACACGGTAGCCTATTCACAGTGTCATAATATATCCTTCCTGATTATGCCACAGGCGTAGGAACATCGTCCATGGCCACAACCATCGGCAGGACTTTCCCCACCTTGTTATCAACAGAGACTCACCGGCACACGCGCAAAACCTTGTGGAAAAGAGCCGGGGCTTAGAAGGTAATACGGAGGAAGCGACCACGACGGACGCAGAGCCGTCCTTGGCACAGTAATTTGTGTCTTGGCAGCGGGAGAGCAAGCACCTGCGTGAGCAAGTCCGATCCTTGAAGGAGGAAGTGGCGATGTTGAAGGGGGTGGTGGGCGGCCGAAGGGGCATGGAGGCATCACCGAGGCGCAGGGGAAAGAAGCCGAACGCGCTTCAGGGATCGCCCCTCCACCCACTCCCGAGAAATGTCACTGGAAGCACAGGTACAAGCGTTGCAGTCGGAGAAGAAATGTTTCCAGGCTTTGATCAAGGAGAAACAGGGCATCATTGCTCGGTTGCAAAAACGCATGGAAGAGCAAGACAAGACCTTCGTTGCCTCGGCGGGCCTCGGGTCTCGGATGGGCCCATGGCCCGGCGGCTTCGCAGATATTGGAGAGGGGAGTGGCGCCAGAGAGGAGAGGCTTGCAAGGGCTGCCACAGAGGTCGTGGCGGAAGTAAGCCCAAGGGGAGGGCGGGAAAGTAGGCAGGAGGAGGAGTGTGAAAGCCCCTCATGTCGCAGGGAGGAACGCGAATAGCCGCGAGCAAGTCGAGCCTGTTGATGCCAGGACCTTCGCGTCCCGAGCC